TGAGTATTCTGCCTGATCTCCGTCTCCAGATAGACATGGGGTCTCCTGCAGGTGCTGTGTTGTACTCACCAACCCTGCGAGACATGTCTCAAATTATTTTGGCCATCTCAGGTGTTGTGGCTTTAGGCAATTGAATCCGAGAGAAAAATTGCTGTACTCCCTGGAACCAGGAGATTGAGATCCCGCTGACCAAAGATACGTCTGTCCCTCACAGAGGGAGCTCCATGGTTCTGCAGACGTTGTTGGTTAGATGCCTGTTGACTAGCACGGGAACTAAACTTCTCAGCTCACGTTGTAGGAACCTAAATTTAGGCAAGCTGAATTCCAATGGGGACAGAATGAGAAAGGAAAAGGAGTAAGCAAATCAGAGATATGATTGTATAAATGAGTCTGGTACGTTTAGATCAGGGTTTGTTTGCGAGGCTGACATTGTACAGTCTAGTTTTCTGCTTCATTTTCTTTCTCTTGGCTGCATTACTTTCCAGTCCAGAATTGTTTTCATTTATTATTGCCATCCTTAGCTACCTAATTGTGCTACTAATGAATACAAATAATCCAGGCATCAGGCTTTTCCAGACCCACTTTGGTGTACAAATAATGGTTTGTTGTGTAACCGCTGATTATGGGAGAAGTAACTCACGTTATGGAAAATATACCATCCCTGGATGTGTTTAAGAGACATTTAGATGTGGTGTTGGGGGATATGGTGTAGAGGAGAACTTTGTAGAGTAGGGTAGATGGTTGGACTCGATGATCCCAAGGGTGTCTTCCAACTTAGGCGATTCTATGATTCTATATGTGCTGAAATGTTGGTGATGGGGAAAACACTGAATTCTGTGGTCCGCCTGTTACATTATGACAATGTATTGTCACTTTTGTTCCATCAGGTTGTCCGTGATGAGTAAACGTGAGACAATTTGAGCCCAGTTTTTAAGGATGTGTACTTACATTTGGAACTTCAATTTCAAATTTGTGAGTGCTCGTAACAGCACTATTGCACATGAAATGCGTAGCTGGCTACCAAATTGCCTATTCAAGTGCACGTGTATGGGGTTTGAGCACTCAACATTAAGCATCTGCATTTCAAAATTGGATCCCTTGTGCTTGAAAGCCTTGGAAATGGTACTCTATGGTCAGCCTAGTGCAGCATCAATTGAAATGCAGTTTGAATGCAATGTAGAGCTTCCAATTGCTGCTTCAGAAAGTGTTATGCTGAATCTGGAACACTTTGCATAATTTAATTAATTATGCCACTAAAAACTGATTTTCTCTCAATTTAAAGCAAACAGCTTTTATGAGGGTGAACTGCAGCACCCAGGGATATCAGGTGTCCAAGCTTTTAATCCTATTACAAAGACTTGACAACCACTGATGGAAACTGGAAAAACATAAGCCTCCAGCAGGGCAACAAGTGAAGAGGAAGAAGGCAACAGATTTTTAATACTCTTTGAAACCACTGTACGTATTAAATCAAAATCAAATGTAAAAAGTGACAGAACCAGTAGCTTGCACTTAGTTGTGCAGACGGTGAGTAGTGTCTAAGGAATAACACTTATTTCGCTTGACGTTAATGAAAATAACTGTTTCCTCTAAGAGGAAAATTGTTCCGCTTAACTAACATAAGAAAAACACAGCAAATGGCCAAGACTATTTGTATCTGTGTCTGTCCACTTAAAGTGTTCAGGAGCGCAACAGCCTGTAGTTTGAAAGTGGTTTCTAATGTTATGGATTGGATTCTGTCTATGAATCATTTTCCCTGTAAACAAATCTTGACAGACGGTGCCAGACTACAAGTACTAAAGAATCTGTCACTGACTAAACAGTAGTCTCGATACTCCGCTTTCTGAAGCTTGTCTTCTCTCTCCCAATTTATTATTGGGTTCGATATCACTCTAAAACAATAGACACTGTAATTTTGAGGCAGAAGGGAATACTGATTTAGAAAAGCTCTAATTTCTGAGCCACATAAGCAGTGCCATAATTGGCAATCTATGACTGAGCGTGCAAAATTCTGTGACCAGGTCAGGAAGGGTCACAGCAGAATTAACTCCATCTCCATATTGAACATCAGCGTGTAACATGAAATTAACTGGACTGTAGAAGATCTTGCAAAGAAATAGGGAAAATATCTCATTACTAAGAATTCACCCGCCCTAGAAAACACAAAAAGCCTTCTTGCTTATGCTATTAACAAATATTCGTATAATTACTAATCTATATTTATGTATTGTATGTGTTCATATATATGTATGGCATACGGATATCATCATGTTTTGATGGGAAAGTATAAAACAATAAGCTTAAACGATTTGTAAAATGGTGACCTTGTTAAGAATACTAGAACTTTGCATGTTAATTAGAGAATTTTGCTCCAAGTCTGAAATACATTTTGCAATCATAGCCTTTTCTGTCTCTGTTTTTTATAAAGAATAAAAAATAAATGTCCAAAAAAGAGTTTTCAGTGGATGGTGAAGACGAGAGAGTTTGTAGCTAAAAAACCCAAGACATTCTGGCCCAGATTCATCTTACTTAAGCCGTCTAAGTCTAAGCCATTTGTAAAAGCTTCTTCTGCAGTTACTGGGCAGACGAAGGCATGCCCAGAGGCCATTCATTCCATTTGTTTCTCGCAGTATTTCCCTCCCCATTTCATTTGGGCATTACCTGATCGCCAGGCAGTGCTGACTTCATCCGAATCACAGTGCAATCACACTTGCGCTAAACTAGACGGCGTAGCGGGCCTTTGCTGCCTTCACGTTAGCCACAGCAGGAGAGACAGTACCACGTTGAGCATGAAACTAGAGCAAGATGGACAAGCGGCATGTGCTCCACTGCAAGATCCTCCAGAACAAAGTTCTCTCTTCAGCTTTTCTTAATGGATGCAAAAATTAAGATTGGGCTTGTTCTTGCTCAGGACTTGACATTGTGTAGTCAGATTTTTGGTGGTTGTTTTTTAACGAAGACCTAAGTACCACAAAAAAAAGCTTTACTATTTTATGGACACATGCCCTAAAGATGGCATGAATGATCATTTGGGACTAGCTGTCTTCCTTTGTTGAATTTGTATCTGCATCTGCATCAACACCTACATGTTGGCTAAAATTAAGTGAGGTGAACTCACTTTTTGTGTTTAACTCTCATATTTTTTAATGGATGACTATTCAGAATGAGTGGCAAAAAGCAGAAAATTAGAAAAAAGAAAATTAGAAAGAAAAAAATTGTTTTCCCAGCTAAGATTTAGCTCCTTCAATTATGCATGTGTTTGAAAGTAGGTTCTTGGGTTTTTGAGTCTCTGAGTTCTCAAAATACAAGAAAATGTGTTCACTTATCAGAGGTGATGAGATTCAAGTAATGTATTAACCGCTCAACTATGTACACTGCATAAAGATTGCAACAATTTCTTGTAAAATAATAAAAGTATCTCATATAATTGATTCTTTTCATTGTTTCATAAAATTGCTTTGTTTGATTGCAGGAGAGTTTGGACTGAATTTTCATTACCTACTTCTGAACAATTTACACTGGGATTGAGACAGTATTGAGCTAATGAGTTAGATTTTTTAAAGAAAATAATGGAAATAATGGAGTATTTTTCATTATAAACTATGTTGTGCAGCTTTTACAATCAGGTTTTTAATAGATCTAGAGAAATTAAATTGGAATTCTACCAACTTTTGTGCTTTTGTCATCCCATGAAAATGATGTTAAAAAATGTCAAGACTAATGTGCTAATCACATTTCTACTGAAGTAAGGAGGTGGTATTCGTCACGTTGTTCTTCAGGTCCTGTTATTCATTAAGTAGTAACATGTATATAGAAAAACATTCAGAAATATACACTTCACTGTAATGCCTGATGCTAAATAGAAATTGAGTATAGATTAAATAGGTCTTGACTGATATTATCCTCAAGTCCTTATCAAGAGAAATTCCCCTGAAAATAGTAGAAACTTTCAAAGTCAGGAGGGTGAAATTATGCCCTATATGAAAAAGGAAGCAATCATATATTGCTGATGTGTATATTAATACTGCTGAGAATGCATGCATATATACATATTTATTAATATATTCAGACATTTTTTATTGATTGTATATGGTAAATAAACTTATTCAATGAGTGTATAGATTACTCCGTAAGTGTAAACATACATATACTGAGTCTCAGCATTATACATAAATATGCACCATGAATAATATAAATTGTGAGACTGGAAGTTTTTAAACCTTTTAGTATATATAAATGTACAACTTAATAATGTTATATGAATTTTTAGTATTGTCCTTTAATTGTATCCTTCTGTTTAATTCTGTGGGTATTTTTTTATGAGGAGGTCTGCAATAGTGAAAAAGTTTATTTCTCAAATGTATGAATTATTGCTTGTCTCAATGCTTGTTTGTCCGCATTCTTCCTTGCTGTTAGTCCATTCCACTGCCAGAAGACTGCAGGAATCAATAAATAACCCCTTACATTTTAATTAATAATATGAAATAAAAATTGAATATACAAAATAGAATCGTCAGCCAAGCACATATACATACATGTTGGTGCCCTCAATAAATTGAATTTTTAGTAACTTCCTATAATGTTTATTTATTCACAAATACAAGAATGAATATGAATGTAGTTTAAATTTTAATTGGCATAACAGGCAGTAATTTTGCAGGCAAAAATATTCTTTCACGTATAAAACAAATGCCATAGTTTTACTTGCTAAGATTGGCAAAAGTATATGTAGAGTATACATCAGACACAAACTTCATGTGAATGAACACAACTATAATACTTTTAGGTTTGTGTTATAACTCTTAACTTAAAAAAGTTATCCTTACATATCTTTTTCAGAGGGTGGGAAAAAAAAATAGTTGCTCCCCCAACCCACATATTAAAAAAAAAAAAAAATGCCACTTGCAAAACAGGTTAGATTGCTGGCCTTGCTTGCAAATTCAGACATTGAAAATTTGGAGTCTTCCTTCATCCAAATAATATATATTCATTCCCCACAGGCAGCAGTGATGGTTCTTGGGATAAGGAAAAACTCCAGTCTCCCCCCACCCAAGGATCACAGGCCTCTGTTAACCACCCCAACTTGCCTGGACAGCATAATGTTCCAGTTAGCCATCCTCTCAACCCTCTTCAACAGAACCACCTTCTGCCAAATGGTACGGGTTGACATCTTTCAGCACTAACATTAGCAGTTATCCAGTTCCTGTCTTTATTTTGTGTTTATATAAATAGGCTATGAAAAATCAAAGATGTGGGGAATATTGGAATACTTCCTTTAAAGTATTAAGCAGGGGAAGCGGAGACAATAAAGAACAAATACATGTGCAATAAAATTGATACTTAAAATAACTGCTAACCTGTGCATCAGTGGCATAATAATGCATTGCTAAGGCACCGTAAGGCAGATATTAAAAAATATAATAAACAGCCATTGCTTGGCGATGATATCATACATTACACTGATATGAACAAACTAAGAGGTCTCATAGCCTCTCCTTGTGGCTAGAAACTCTTTATGGTTGCTAGTGATTTACCCATGCATATCCTGGAAGACAACTGACATACATCTGCTTTGTCCTGCAGTGTGAACCATCTTGTCACCCATCGCTTGTATATTGTCCATCAGGAGGAAAAAAATAAGACAATTAATGTTTTAAAAAACCCGTTTCCTTTTTTTTTTTTCCCTCCACCAGGATTGGAACTTCCTTTTATGATGATGCCCCACCCGTTAATTCCTGTGAGCCTACCTCCAGCATCTGTCACGATGGCAATGAGCCAGATGAATCACCTTAGTACCATCGCCAACATGGCGGCAGCAGCACAAGTGCAGAGTCCTCCATCCAGAGTTGAGACATCTGTTATTAAGGTAACTACATTAATAAAATAAATAAATTCTAGCACACTCACAACTGTCATAACTATTGTAAAGGTGTCAGATGTTATAAGGTAAGTCATAAAGACAATATGTACGAGAAACTCAACTGTTGTAGCTCTGGGAACCCAGTAGGTTGCTGTTGGCCATTGTTATCTTCTCCGTTCTCCTTCCCTTCTCTAAAACAATATTAAAACAGTGCTCAAGCTGAAGCATCTTCATAAAGAATGTACAGCTTTCTGATTTCTCATATTTCATAGTCTTTAATCTAATGGCTATGTTCCTCAGGATATCAGGGAAGATATTATTCCTTTTTTAAATTAGAAGGGACTGTTCATCCAACTTCTAAATCTAGGCATTTGAACTGAAATGCTGAAAATTATCTGAAAAAGGCTGAAAGGTTTGATACTTTGCCTCTGCAGAACCTAAATTGCCAAATCCTGGAACAGAATGGAATGAAACTGCACAGAACAGACCCAGTAATCTGCAGGCCAGAACTGTAGTATTGTAGAGATATCTCAAAAATATCTGATATCTGAAATTGTCTACCCATTTAAGGGTTTGTTTGCTGCCTGTAACTAAATTAATCTGGTTGTGGAGGTATTTAGCACAGGCAAGGAGTCTTCTCTTCTCCTGACTGAAGGTGATTTGTTTTTATTATAAAGGCATTTCTCCCTTACCACTAGATGTTTATAATTTAATTTGACATTTATTCAGATATTTGCATTTTACCTGTTATACTTCTTTAGTTCTAATAAATGAGATATGGACAGTCCACAAACTTTTGTGCTTTTATGTAACATTCATATGTTAGAAATAGACATCTGAAGGCAAAATTATTTGATATATCAGGGCTACGTTGGAAATCTGTCCATTAATGTAATTCCTTTGATAAAAATCGGGTAAACTTAAAATCTCAATCAAGAGTTGCAAAAGTGTTGAAGTTCATGATAATTTAAGAGAAAAATCTGGTCTGGTGACCTAATTTTGACACCTGCACTTCCGGACGTAGGATCTCCTTTGGAGGCCTTCAGTGTCATCCATTTCTCACCTTTGATGATATGGGGAGTTAAGACATTGGTTTTAGAATTGTTTCATTAGGTGCTATGTCAGCAAGGCTAGATTTCACCCCTAATGTCCATCTTCCCCATATCTTGGGAATATAAATACTCTTCTGCTAACTAACTGTTCGATTACATGGTGATTTCTGCACCTTTGTTTTTCTATTTTCACTTGAGCAGTACTTAGTAAAAGTTACATGATACTAAAGTTCTCCGGAGCATACGTGGTGCTCTATTTCATTCTAAATTTATTTTCTTAATTAGAATAGTGACCGCTGGTATTACAGAGGTATCTGACAAATGAAGATTGTGATGGAGCACATGCTAAATGACACCTGAGAAGTATGAAGTACTATGGCAACAAAACTTTGTTTTCACTATTTTTCCTACAATTTTCCCTTTTTTCGTTTTCTGTAAGCTATTTGATTTCATATGTAAGCGTAGAAAATTTGACCTTCACAAGCATTGGTAACCTTCTGTTTCTAAACTTCGACAAGCTGATTTCTGGCTTGTAAAGTTGCTTTACAAGCTAGTTGTAGCTATTAAAGTTGCCCTAGTTACTGTGGCCTACATTTAAATATGTCTATGGGAGCATACCCCAATGTGACCCCCTATCTTTGTCTCCAGTTACCAAAATCAGGTACACTTGGAGTACAGCATAGCTCCTAGGCTGTGTAAAAAAAGGTTTCCTTTTGTGGAAAGCAGATCCTGGTGTGTTCACATATCTCACACCATTATGGGAACATTACTGGACCTAGGAAGCACTTAACTAAGAACTACTTCTGGCTCATCTGATCTAAACCTGTCTAGTAGGTTTAAAAGTATTGGACTCTGAAAGGGAGACTCTGTCATCATGTAACTATGTGTATTATTTTAACCAGCGGCAGTGCCATACCAGAAGATTTTCCTTATCCCAGAGTTCCTTAACTTCTTAACAAGTTAATTTTTGTAGTTCATGTAGTCAGAAAGACAGTTCTATTATAATTTAAGTGAAGATTTTGAAAGTACCTAGCAATTTTGGTTCTCTGAAACATTTTAGCAGGACTTTGTAACTGGAAAATATTTTTTTTTAAGATCTTGCTTATTTAAGCATTTGTTTGTATTAAAAATCTACAGTATTTATCTCTGTCATTTCTGAAAATTCAACTATCCCATACTCATGCTAATAAAAACTTCATAATAGCTGCCAACTTTTGCGCAGCTCCTGGCATAACATCTCGTGCAAGTTACTTAACAAACCAGGTTTCCCATTCCCATCTGGTTTGCACATAAGCATAAATTAAAAAGATGTGGATTTGCAATGAAGTTTTTTAAATAGCCAAATTAACCTAAGTTCTGTTTAGAAAAGTGTGCTCACTCAAGGGTGAAATATACATTTTTTAAAGTTCGCACGATTAAGTTAGAGTTTTGGGACATTTATGTAGAGCCTGATGGAGACACTACCTAAGTGCTGCTGTGACTTCTTCAGTCAAGGGCTGTGACATATTGCCCACAATACATTTATACTACAGGTAAATACATAAAGACAAATGTTAAGCTGCCATCCAACACTCACTTCTAAGTGTAAAAGATCTTGCTGCACATAGTTATTTCAATAATACTGTAAGGGGTCAGGAATTTACTTTGACAGGACTTTCCTACTCTTTCTCTCAGCCTCTTTGTGGTACAATGTACGTCTAGACTTATGTCCTCTGTTTTTGTCTATTGCAGATGAATATAGCCATGTGGATAGAGATAGCACAGCCAAGTAATTACATTCTTATTTTTTAATACTGGACAGGATTGAAACATAAACCCCAGCAACATAAAAGCATGAGGTCATTGTTAGGGGGATTTTCTTCCCATGAGCATGGAAAAAATGTCACTAGCAATTTACCTGTTTCTCACTAGGCATAGTCAGAGGCTGTGATTTTAGTGTCCATTGAACTGAGCAGTTGAGCAGCAAACTCCCTAATCAGCATACTTTTTGAACCTTGCGATGGCAATATAAAGATTATGAATAATAACTTATACTACAATCAAAATAAATAGCTTAGAGAACAGATGTAAGTGAGAAGGTCAAACCTTCTTTTTCTTTATTTTTACAGCAATAGATAAATAGTGCAGTTGCTCTCTTTCCCAAAACTGTTTGTTATTAGATGCATATCTTCCTTTCTTTTACTGCTACATTTTTAGACTTTTTGGTTTTGTTTTCATTATCTTCTGGCTCGTTTTTTTAACCCTAATTTTACTTAAATGTTTTGCCTCAGTGACAATACTTCCACAAGCTGATCTGAAATGTTAGTGAATCACTCATCTTGGAGTTCATAGTTGCAACCTGAAATGACAGCATAGATTTGAAATTAAAGTACGAGATGTTTACAGGTTTAAAGTCCGCTTGAAAGTTAGGAGATCTATGAGAAATTTCTAGTAAACAAAAAGTAAAAAAAAAGTAAATCAATAGTAACCTTATCTAATTAAGTAACAAAGAACAAAATTAAGTCTTGGAAAATCTAAGTCTTCAGATTATAAACAACCTGGCTCACTGGATAGAAGAATTGCCTTTGTGAACAGTGCCACAGTAGATGACTTGCTGACCTTTCCTTCCAATTCACCGAGTTCACAGTTAGTGCTGTTATCTTTAAACTCACAAAGCTTCAAATGCCTTTCTATTACTGGGCAATATTTCATTTCTTCATGATAAGAAGTTGGAATAAAGCTGAGATCATGTACTAACCAAACATTTTATCCTGTTATGTTCAGGAGATGAGACAAAGACAAAATTACAAGGGAAGCCTTGCAAAGCAACACCTTAGATTTGGCAGTGAACTCTGAGCTCTAGAATCTTCAGAATTATATTTCAGGAGAGTGTTGTGCCCTTTCAAACATGAGATGAACATTAGATGTCTTTTTGTAATGGAATGTTTAGATATATGAGTTGGATGAATAAGAGGAGAGCAACAACAAGCAGGGACAGCAGATTGTGACAGCAATGAATTGCAGTGAGTGTGACAGCTGTGACCTGGGGATGCTTTAGACATGAGGTGGCTTTCATCACCTGCCCATGGTTTCAAAGGCTCAGCTTGTTAGCAGTTTCACTACATCAGGTTTTTTTTTTCACTCAGCAGAAAGATATATGAAAATATAAAGGACATACCTAATATTACCAGCAGCTTGAAATAATTCTACATCGTAATATTTAGAACAGAGCAGCATGCCAGAATCCAAAATTGCACTGTATCTCTGTTACTCATAGAAAGAATTAAGAAAAAAGCAGAAGAAACCAGTATCTCCAGCTGAAAAAGTCACCAGTGGCACAGTAGTTTTCGATTGCATATTAAATACGCGAGACTACATTTTGCTAATTCTCTAAATATATCACAGCAGTGGTTGCCTTATACTTGTTTATAAGGTTATATCTTCCTGTTATCCAATAGCAGAAAATTACTAGTAATTTATTTAACTGAGGTAGCTGCTGACAGATTTTTTTTTAATAACTGTTTATTGGTCTATTCTGACATGAAATTTTATTTTCATGCTTATCCACCTTTTCATTTTTCAATGGCAATATATGTGTGTTCCTATTGATGTAATTTAATGTTCCTATATTTTTCGCCAACAATTATTGTCAAAAAATTATTTGACAAAAAATCCAAATAATAGGCAAAAGGTAGAAGTATGACACTGCCATGCAGACATGACAGAACAGAGTATGGTTAAATGTCTCATGTCAGGGTGGTGGTGAACAAGTTCAGAGAGTGGACCTGAAAGGAAATGGACTCTAAGAGAAAAATGAGGGAGTTCACTTCACGGAGGAGGTGGGCAGCAAAGAAAGGCACTGTAGAAGCTTCAGTTTAAGTCTTCTGTGACTGCTGTGTGAGCAGCCTTGAGTTTAGTGCAGACTTTTAATATCAAAAGGTATTGATCATCATAAGAAGTTTCAGCATAGAAGAG